GCCTAAGGGCCACCTTAGCAAAGCGCATCCCAGGCTGCATAGCCGCACTACCCTACCCAACCATACCACACATAAACATGACACTACCCCCGGGGTTTACACAGACGAGCCGGCGAAGCAAGAAGAGCGCCAGAAGAAAGGGGCCTAGCCGGCGGGGCCCAGCCAGGACAAAAGGAGGTCCCACAAAGCGCCTACACCGGCCGCATTTGCGGTCGGGGTAGACGACGGATGGGGCCCACCTACGAAGGCTGTCCAGGCCGACACGAGATGAGGCAGGATAAAGAGGGATAATCCCCCTCGATCCCAAATCATTGAGGCCAATTTCTAGCCATGGAATAATGGCGCGTACCTGTCCTCCAGTCCTAGTCCAGTAGTATATGCTCGAAGCTCCTAACCATCTCCTAACTTTCATTAACATGGAGATTACACTAGTCTCCCTGTTCATTAATGTCAATGAGTGCGAGAAAGACGGAATACTCTAACATTACAAGTCTCCATGATTACATAGATCGTGATAACATTATGCATCCGTTCCAGTGTGTATCTAGTTCACTGGATAGAAATGAAAGAAAAGATTTGAGTGTACTGTCAAATCGATGTCATAAATCATCATAATGTAACCACTAATTTTTCATAAGAAAATTGCAGCTATAGATGTAATGAAAGTGAAAATATTGTAATTTTAGTCACACTGCTCAAATGAAGTAGTTAATCATTTTATAATTTATTTAAAAAAATGTTAGTGAAACCATCCATTAGGCAATTTTCATCATGTTTGCAAATAATGCGAAGAATTGCTCCCGATGAGTTAAAATCAAAGACTAAAAGTACAAGTTCTCAGCACTGGCTATCGAGACAGTTGTCTGATCCATATGTAGAAAAGGCAAAACTCATGAACTATAGATGCCGAAGTGCTTTTAAGTTAATTGAAATCGATGATAAATTTAAAATTTTACATCCAGGACATACAGTTGTAGACTGTGGCGCTTCTCCCGGATCATGGACGCAAGTGGCAGTAAAACGAGTAAATTCTGATGGAATGAAGACAGATTTATGCAAAGGAACAGTTTTAGCCATAGATCGGCAACAAATTTATCCTATTGAGGTTTGATATGAAGTAAATTTAATAACAGGTTACTTAATTCAAATTTAAATTGTACTTTTTATTGTAAGTGTAGAGAAATTTGGTACTTAATTATTAACAGAACTTTATACAGGTTGAAATATGGTGATTTAAGACGTAATGCTAATTGGAGATACATTATAAAAAAATGAAAGTATATATTTTCTACAATGAACCGTCATTATCAGATTTTTACCCTCGATATTATTTTAATTTGCACCAATCACCATACCATTTTGTTTACTAATTCATTGAATTTTTTTAATTGATTAATTGAATTATTGATAATTGATCATAATAAAGTAAACAGACGAACATAATCTGAATATTAGAAATGATACAAATGAATAATAAAAATGTGATAAGATTATCAGTTACAATAAACAAGATTATTAGCAACAAACAAATTTGTATTAAAAATACCTATTTTAGGGAGCGACGATATTCGGAAATATGGATTTTACTGCGCTCGAGTCCCAAAAGAAAATCGTTGGTTTCTTAAATGGCAAAAAAGCAGATGTCATTGTATCTGATATGGCATCAAATGCAACTGGAGTTCGTAGTTTGGATAATGAAAATATTATAAAACTGTGCTACATTGTTTTAAGATTTGCTGTCCAGACATCAAAAAAGGATGCTTCTCTATTAATGAAGTTATGGCAATGCGGCGAGACAAAACAGTTAGAAAATGATATTGCTAGATTTTATAATAATGTCAAAATAGTTAAACCAAATTCTAGTAGATCAGATTCTACAGAAATCTTTTTGTTAGGGAGGAATTTCAAAGGTCTAAAAAATAACTAAATTATAGTAAGAAAAAAATTATGATTATTTTATAAAGCCCTTTACCAATTAAATATTCAAAGCATGCCTTAATGCCTGGGTATTTGAGAATTCAAGTGTTATATTGAAGGACCAATTTTATACATAAAAATAAGAAAAAATACATACATACTTATGCATATATCATTGGAGACAATATGTAAACTGCTGTACCCTTAGGGAGCATGTTGGGAATTACATTAAACTTTTTTTTCTTATTTTTGTGTAAGTCGCTACAAATACAGAGCCTTTTTAAACGATTACAAGCCTAACCAGTAATTTAATTTGAAACAGTGATTCGTGTTAGCAGTTAAATTTTGGTAAAATTAAAATTTACTAAAACAAATCAGCATAATGTAAAACACATTGTATCACCGGCAGGTGATTGGTATAATCACGTTATCTTAGGAATAGACAACGGTCGTCGTTCATTGTAAATGAACCAATACGTCTGATGACACAGTTTAGGGATTTTTAATTGACAGTGACAATCATGTAATGTTGGTTGCCTATGCTCGGTGGTCACATGACTTGTAATCATTTATGAATATGAAGACTCTGGCTCTGTATAACGTCAAACAATATGAAATTCAGTACATAAAAACAGAGTCTAGGATACTCTATATTTCAGTATGTTCCAAGGCAAAGATATGTACAGAATCTAGAACTGATGGTTGGTCACCATTACAAGAAAAAAATTCCATTTTGTACACTGGCACTATGATATAAACACTATAGGTATATCTCGTATACCGAACCACAGTGGCATAAATAAAGTATGTATTTATTTATGGACAATAGTAACAATAGAGCAACACCCCACCCATCCACCATGAGTGGTGGAGTCACATTCGAATGACAGTTTTCTTTAATAGTATTATAATTGGTTGTATTTCTTAAAATAACAGGTATTAATATATTTATTGTTTGTAATTACTTATGGCATTTTTTAGTACTTTTAATTAACAATTTAAAGGTATTAAAAAGAATTGGATCAGTAATGTATTAACAAACGTATATAATTTTACTAATTGCATTAATCAGGTGCAAGTTGATTTAATATAATGAAAATATAAACAATCAGCTATAATATAAATATGTACAAGGATAATAGGAGTTTACAAAAATAAACTCTCTAAAAATATAAGAAAACGAGGATAGAAATGTATTTGAACTAATAAATTTTCACAACCCCAATCATCTGTTGAGTCCTTACTTCAGCGAGTAAGAAATTGTTCTAATATAAATACGTATTTTTATATACATATTTATAAATATCTGTACATGACAATTTTTTATACAATATATAAATAAATTCCAAAATTTTAACTTCAAATTTATCTCATTAAAACAAACTTTTGTGTAATCTTTGTCAAAAAACATTCACATAGTATGTTATTACTTTCTTTAATTCTTAAGTAGCTTATTAGCGTTAGCCCCCATTAGTTTTGATGGGTAAAAAATACTGGACTAAGAACTGAGTTTTTCAAAAAATTTATTAGACAAAAAGTTGCTGCTTTTGATGAATTAAATACGAGGTTAAAATCTTGGTATTTTTTTCTGTGACACTGTATATAAAAATATACAAAAAATATAGTTGTACAGAAAAAATACAACTTTTTACTTTTTTTTATTCGCTACTTTTTACTGTAAACACTGCATATCTACATATTCTGTTTTTTAAATCGTGACAACTATTAATATTTTCATATGGTCAACTGTTTTAAATCTAATTTTTTTTTCATTACACAATCATAATTGCTGATTTATTTTTGCATACGAGTGTTCATTTTTTATAATTTTAAGAGACATACATTGTTCTGTTTCATCCGTGTTTCCAGTCGCAAATTCACATTTTATATTCTCAATCGAAGTAACAAAAACTTCAGACTTGACAGAATGTTCAATAATGGAAAGTTCAGTGTCTATAATCTTGCAAGTAGACGGTACTGACCTATCGAAAAATTTTTTTGGCGTCATTTTAGTGAAAGAAAAGATAGTGGGTACTGCGTTAACTTTTAATCGTTTTGTTCCATCCTCCCTTGTTATCTCCCACATTTCAGGTTCAAAGTGGGCCTAGAAGGTATTGGTTTATTTAAAATACATTTTTTAAAAACAACTACTTTATAAAACTAAAAAAAAAAGTTAGGTAGGTATTAATTTTTAACAAAAACATACCTAGTTGTTATATATGAATATCAGATTAATTTTATCAGACAACTGTAATTAAATGTTTTCAAAATAATTTCTTTTATTTAATCTCACCTCGCACAGAACAGATGAATCAGTAGGAAACCAGTTATACCTTTTTGTTCTAACTGCCCACTCTTTTCTACGATTAGGATTCCTAGGAAACCTTTTCATAAGAAAACCCTTTACAGAAGAATTACTACAACCTACAGCTGCACATCCGGGCATTCTAAAAAATATATATGTAATCTAAAATTGTAATATATAGTTATTTACATCACATATCTTTTACATACACATATTATACGAAAACTGGAATAACATCTACTTTCAAAATCTATTTTGTATTGTTATATTCTGTACAAAAATGTGGTTTCGTGCAATTTTTATTTTCATTACTTTTTCTTAAATTCATAAATTCTGTAATGTAATATGGAATTTTACAGGTTATATATTTTATAGTGATGGGAGATTTCGAGTGAAAAATCGAGTGGTACTCGATTATTGAGATCACTCGAGATATCTTGAGATGTTTACTCCCACCACTCGAGTGATTATTACCCTACGGTTGCACCCCAAAATGTTAGTGCATACTGCAAATAGTCACTGATTGCGTAACCTTTTTTTGTTTAGAATAAAACGGAAAAAGTGGTTAGGTTTTGAAGTGCGTGAGCTTTTTTTTTTTTTAGCTACGCTTGTAAGTAATATATGACTAATACAAACATATTTGTGCGCCGCTGGGATGAAAACTACCAATATCTCGTTATCGAGTGATCACTCGATTATTAGAAGTACTCGATTACCGATAACTCGATTATCAAAATTGGTCGATTATGCCCATCACTAATATTTTAGTTCATTGCACAAAACCTAAATGCAGGGATTGAGGGCTGCGCACTCTCTGTGGAGGGGGAGGATTACGCAATAGTTCATACACTTACCATTTTGGCGCTGGCATCTAGGAATCTTGGGTGTTGTTGATAAAACAGGAACCAAGTTTATCATTTACTATTTGAATTTATTTTGTTTTGTTGATGGTTTTGTGGTATTGTTGTATTTTATTTATTGTTAATTGATTATAAACTATAATAGGACAATGGTGTTTGTGTGTTGTGGACCGAATTGTGATGAAAATGTAAGTAAGAATTAAAACACATATATAAAGGAAACAATTGTATCGTAAATTTGTAACCTATATACAATATTTTTATTACACTTTCTTTCAGGTATACGATATTTGGGTAAAGAGGATTTGTAATCATACACTGAAGTCTTGATCCTCAAATTGCTTATAGGAGATACAGAGTATGCGATAAGCAGTGAATTTTGTCGAACTCCTGGAGAGAAAAAGTTAAAATTTGGAAGTTTGCCCATATTATTTTTGCCAGGTAAATATATAAAAACTAAATAAAATATTGTGTCAATATTTTTGTATGTGTACTTTAGATTTTCATGAAAGTCCGACACAGGAAAATTCGCTTTATAAATATGGAAGTTGTGAAACAGAAACTCATTTGGAAGTACCAGATCCTATTCCAAGCACTTCTACTGAATGCAATACACCCAATATATATTCTGAAGTTCAAATCACATTAAGGCAGCCAGGTAATTTCGCATTTACTTAACCAGAATTAAAATATTTAAAATGTTTCCAATTTACATTTATAGATTAGTATATCCTTTTATTGGAGGTTATTTGCAATATAAATTAGTGACTACTGTGAAATAAACATAAATCGTTGACTGAAGTATGTACTATTTTTAATCAACGCATGAATTTATTTGCAGTGTCCTTTACAGAATTGTATTTGATTATTTAGTAGTACTTTTATAGAAACTGTATAAATTGTCATAAATTCAATTCTCTTTAAAGGTGAAGAAGAGAATAATCCATTTATTTCAATACCAGGTACTTCAAGGGATTGTATAACCCCAACCGAACAGGTATAGTTAGTACGGTAGACTCAATTACTGAAACTTCATTAAGATATAAAGGTGCTTACTTTATTTTAAATAGTATATCCGTATGTTCATATAGAAATCAAAATATTTTGTATTAGACATGTTTCTATTAGTAAAAGTGTAGTTTAAACAAATTTTAACATTTCTTGAATTTCAATTTGCATGAATAAAAGAACACGGCCTATATTATAGTATATACTTGTGTGTTTGTGTGGTCTAGCTTGTAAAGTATTTTAATTTGTATATTTTATAGTATAATATAACTTGCAATATGTCAGCGTATTGTAATTTTCTATAAATAATTAAAAAAAAACAAATGCCATTTTATTTGATAAAATAAACAAAACTGTTTACAACAGTGCAAAGAAATCATTTGAAGTACATATTAGGTAAGTAAAATTAAAAACAAAATAAGCAATTGTATCCTTTAGAAAGAAACAATATTTTAAATAATATCTATATCACTTATATTGTCTGAAATTACTTTTCTGTGGCAGTATTTAGTATTTTAGAGTTTGAGTATTTTTTGCCATTAACAATTAAGAAATAATCCCATGAAGTAGAAGGATTATTGATGAAGGGGTTGTTTTAATAAACTTACTTTTGCTTAAAATGATTATATTTTATACTAAGATTGTAGATAATATACTTAAAAAAACACTATTGTACATTACTTTGATGACGTTTCAAAATTTAAAGTAATGTGGCATACTGTCTCTTTATGGTATATTATTTACAGTCTCAGTATGAGATATAATCATTTTAGGCAAAATTAATTTTATTATTTAATATTCAATCAATATATTTTAAATATTCATTCAATCAATATATTTTAAAAGTCCCGCTAAAAGACTTTTACTTGATACACTTGGCACATTGGCGCTGATGCTTATTACATAGTATTATATATATGCTTATTACAGTCCTTCCCCCTCCACTAGAGATAGTTATCTATTGTCTCTGCCTAAATGGTTCAATATGCAATATACCACGGCTGCAGCGATTTAATAAACTAGGACCATTTGGAAAGTTTCGACCGCGAATGGAAATGGCTACCACGTGATCACACACCACAATATACAATCACTGTTTTATTTTCATTTTCAAGATCATGACCCGCCACGCCATTATTCTATGGCTAGAAATTGGCCTCAATGATTTGGGATCGAGGGGGATTATCCCTCTTTATCCTGCCTCATCTCGTGTAGGCCTGGACAGCCTTCGTAGGTGGGCCCCATCCGTCGTCTACCCCGACCGCAAATGCGGCCGGTGTAGGCGCTTTGTGGGACCTCCTTTTGTCCTGGCTGGGCCCCGCCGGCTAGGGCCCTTTCTTCTGGCGCTCTTCTTGCTTCGCCGGCTCGTCTGTGTAAACCCCGGGGGTAGTGTCATGTTTATGTGTGGTATGNAAGTAATGTGACATACTGTCTCTTTATGGTATATTATTTACAGTCTCAGTATGAGATATAATCATTTTAGGCAAAATTAAGTTTATTATTTAATATTATCAATATATTTTAAAAGTCCCGCTAAATGACTTCTACTTGATACACTTGACACATTGGCGCTGATGCTTATTACAGTCCTTCCCCCTCCACTCGAGTTAGCTATCTATAGTTATCTATTGTCTCTGTAGACGAAGTCAGATCACTATTCCGACCATATTTTGTACGAAAAGTACGAATTGCAGCTGCCAAACCTTCATTACTTTTAAAATACTGCTCAACAACGAAAACGCGTTGATCTTTCGTGTAGCGCTCCAGTTTTAGTAAGCCTGAGCTGTTAGCTGTCAAGCTCTTTTTTTCATTTACAACGCTTTACCGTACAAATAGCGTAAAATTCAAATCTTGCGTGAATTTTGGGACACACAATATATGCCAAGAGGTTTTATTATTTTCTTTTACAACCATTTGATGCACGAAATTAATTCCTTTTAGGCTCCAATCACCCATTCTGAGTCACTGGTGATGTATAGCATGATCTGTATCCCTGAAGCAGTCAATATGGACGTCAAGTTAGAGAAAACCACTTTCGTTCTGGGCGAAACCATAAATGTAACTGTGAACTTGCTCAACAATTCTTCTCTGGATATTTCTGCGGTATCAGTGGAATTGTATAATGTAAGTTGCAAGTGGCCCAATATTTCCGGTGCATGGAGCTTACACAGCTTACTGCGACCAAAATAAGCAGGTGTTACTAATTGTAAGGTGACCTGTATCTTAAGTTGCCCTCTTTAGCCGCTAGAGGGAATCAAAGTTTTCCTTGAACTAACCTGTTTATAATTTTGTTGGTGGTCATGCTAAAGCTTCCATTTTTTATGACATATTATACGAAGGGTTTGTTATAGTCATTTGTGAAACAAATGTTAAAAGTGACATTTTATTTTGTATTGCAGAACGAGCAAAATAGAATCTCTTTTAACAAATGTATCATAAAATATCGTGTGTTAAAACTGTTACTAAAAAGAAAAAAAACATGCCGTCTTTTACAACAACTTAATTTTTGATAGGGAATACATTCCTGCGTTTTCCAAATTTAAAGTGAAAACACCCTGTATATACAGGGTGTCTCACGGTGACGGTCCATTAGAATTATTTCAGAGACTACTTCGATTTGAATTTTGAAAATTTGGGATACCGGGTTCACGTGCATGCCCTTCTCAACTAAAATAATGGCGTCCACGTACCACTTCCGGTCATACCGGAAGTCGCCATCAACTTGCTTATTTTAAAGGGATATATTATTGCAATTTTTGATTCTACGTGTTATTTTACGTGGACTTTTATGAAGTTTCCCTATTCCTAAAATTAACCGTTTTCGAGATATTTAATTATTTTCAAAAAAAAAAAATAGAGAGATACAGTGACTAGCTTCAAACCATGTGTATTTTATAGTAAGAAAGATAAAGTAACAATATTTGTACGGGGGATAGCTAGACCCCTATAGGGGAAGCTTATAAGCTTCCCATCCATACTTTCAAAGTGGCTTAATTGCATGCAGAGTGCTAGAAATTTAATGCCGAGTTTAGTTAACTTCAAACCTTCATAAGTCGGTTTTTTTAAATGGCACACCCTGTATGTTTTTCTATATTCTGATACACAATTTTATTCTCTTT